ATTGTTCCCTCTGTGGCCATCTCTTTCTCCCCCTTTTTTTTAGAAATCAAAAAAATACTTTTTTCCATTCCTTCATCCTCATGGAAAAATTTTCTCTGTTGGCTCCCGCATCACTTCCTCAGCCATCGCCGTGGCGACACAACCCCCCGCCAACAGCAGCAGATGTAGTCCCAGCACTTTACTGGGGCTTTTGCTGAGCCGAAAAAACCAGCACTGAACCTGATGGAGCAACATCGATCGTCAGAAAAACCCTCAAAACTCACACAACTGAGGTAGAAACACAACATCCGAGGCGATAGCTGCATTTGTTTTTTTTTGTAGGTTTCAGCTGAGCATATTGTCCTGCTGCTCGATCTTTGCCTGAGGCCAGATCACAGATTGTTGATGCAGTGTGTCCACAATCTCACCTTTGAGATGTTATGGAGTAATTCATAATACAACAGTGGCTCTCAATGCTTCAGGACTCGGATATGGAGACCAAAACGCTACCATATTGGTTTAGGGTACAAAATTAAACCAGGAGCTCCTTAAAATAAACTGTTGTGCATAACCCATGTTTTTCCTTGCTTCAATCTATTTTTAATATGGTCTGGATTTTATTTGTATGCCTTGTGTAGTTTTATTCATGGTTTTTGGTTCATCTTTTGGTTTGGTTGCTTATGCCAACTCAGCCCCGTTTACACCTGGTGTCTCTTTTTTCTACTTTCAACCACTTCTGTCCTGATTTGTTCGAGGGGAGGGTCTATGAAGGGTACATGTATGGGTTTTTTCAGATCTTTCAATCTAAAGGACAAAATAAGCTCATGCAATTTTCATGAACACGGCTGGAGACGATGAAAAAACAGCTTTAGCTTCAGCTCTGACGGCCTCGAGATCAGCCGAACGCTGTGAGTGTGTGTTAGAAATCAGAACATTGTGTTTGGTATGTTTTTCCTCTTCAAACCAAATTTGGGTCTTCAGCCGCCAGTTTAAATCCCATCTGAGCTCTTCACATAATGTTCACGCATTGTTTTTTTTTAATAAGGTTAAGCTCTAGTAAGCATGACCCTGCAGTTGTAGCCCATCCGCCTCAAGGTTGTGTGTGTTGTGGCTTCACAAATGCTTCGAGAAAAACAAAACTTTTTTTTTTTTTTTTTTTTTACCAGAGCCTATGTTGTCTTTGGAGGCTCTTAAAAGTGTGAAAAAGGCTTATATCTCACACTCTCTGCTGTTTTTACGATATCACAGGATAGTCGCCAGTGAACGTGTTGGTGTTCTTGTGGTGCCATCAGTCAATCCACGCTGTCATGATGTCATTTTCCTCTGTCTCCAGAGTGAATAATCACATTTCTGGCTCAGAAACCACCTGGAGAACATTGAACAACTCCATTCATATGATTGGGAATGTTTACGGACAGCTTTATCCAGGTATTTCGTTGAAGCTATGCATGATAATGTAGCTAGTTGCATTTAGCATTGCTTTTACCCTGCTCTCGACGACTTTATCTGTACAAACCAGTTGTTTGTTTTTGGGTCACAACCCACCAGTTGAGAAGCACTGCAAGAAAACACATTAAAACACAATGTGGCTTTAAGAAAGTGTCTGCCAACAGCCACGGATCTTACAAAAGGAGCTGGACAAACCGATAACACGGTGACGGACGCCATGCCGTAAAACGGAGGGTGCGATGGGATATCTGAAATGTGAGCGGGACAGCTGTGAAGCTCTGAAACGCTGGAGCGTGGCTGTTAGAGATTTCGTGTAGTGTGGGAGAACGATTGTGGGCAGCGGATGGGCTTTTTTCAGCACAATAATACAGGGATTTGTCAGGGGCAATGGTGATCACAAGAAAATGTGGCATGTTTTGTGTGTGTTTTCATCTGCGTGCGTATGTTTGCTCATGTCAAGTGCTTTTCTGTGGATAGGATTTGATTACCAGACAGTTTGAGTCACAGTTCTGAGTCATTAGTTTCATTTGCCAGTCCTTCCATAAGAGCTTGGAAAACATGCAGTAAAAGGGCCTTCTCCTCTCTCGGCCTCCCTCTCTCTTTTTTTTCAGCTCTTCTAAACACCTTTACACGCCGTTCCCTCGCATGTTCCTGAGTGTTGTTAATGCACATCGATTAAATTGCTAAAATTGAAACAAATCAAACCACTTGACACAGGATGTGATGTCAACTGTGGGAAAAAAGTCAACATTTTATAATATCCTCACTGTTTATTTATAGCTACACTGTGATAGTTCTGCTTTTTGTTGTTGTTGTTGTTTTTTTTCTCTCTTAATGTTTTTGTAGAGTTTTCTGTCATGACCAAATGTAACAATATTCAAATATAAACAATATTATATTTAAATGTGAAACATTATTCATTAATTAAAGGAGTAGTTCACTTTAAAAAAAAAAAACACTTTTGCTGATAATTTACTCACCCCCATGTCATCCATGTCATTCTTTCTTCAGTCGAAAAGAAATTAAGGTTTTTGATGGATTTTTCTCCATATAATGGACTTCAATGGGAACCAAATGCTTCAAGGTCCAAAAGACAGTTTCATTGCAAACTGCAAACTGTTCAAAGGGCTTTAAACGATTCCAGATGATGAATAAGGGTCTTATCAAGTGAAACGATCGCTCATTTAAAAAAATAAAAATAAATTACAAAGTTTAAGTTCTATAAGCTCAAATGGTCGCCTTGCTCTGTTCTGTGATGTGCGTTTGTGATTCTCCTGTCCGAACTGGTTTATCAGAATGAAGAGTCAACTCGTTCATTTCGTTCGTTAAATGAACCAAATGACGAGAAAAAAGATTCGTTCATTTTGATAAACGAGTTCGAACAGGAGAGTTACGAACATGCATCACAGAGCAAGGCGACCATTTGAGCTTATAAAACTTAAACTTTTTTTTTTTATTTTTTTTTTACGAGCGATCGTTTCGCTTGATAAGACCCTTATACATCGTCTGGAATCGTTTAAAGCCCTTTGAACAGTTTGCACTGAAACCATTGAAGTCCATTATATGGAGAAAACATCAAAAACCTTAATTTCTTGTCGACTGAAGAAAGAAAGACATGGACATCTTGGATGACATGGGGGTGAGTAAATTATCAGCAAAAGTTTTTTTTTTTTTTAAGTGAACTACTTTAATTTAAATCAAATTCCATAATGCAAGAAATTCGGACTTGATTGTATGAAAGGGATTTTATTGGATATTAATAGTCTAATTAATATTACTGAGTGGATGAATCATTTAGGTAGCTAATGTTTTGATAAGAAATGAAAACATTCATACATCTTTAGAATAATGTGCACTGATGACTAATGCAAAATAAGACTTTATTGCAGTGTTGTAGTCGAGACCACCTCACTCGAGTCCGAATCGACACCGAGACCAGAGAGAGTCGAGTCCGAGTCAAGACCGAGTCCATAGAGAGTCGAGTCCGAGTCGAGTCCGAGACCAGAGACGGTCGAGTCCGAGTCGAGACCGAGACCAGTGAGGGTTGATTACCTAATTTACTTTTATTTACTTAGACAAATCCTTTTTTTTTTTTTTTTACTGAATTTACTTAGAGTTTAAAAAATATGATCAGTTTAGGGTAAAAAGGCCACATAGTAGGTGGTGTTAAAAGTAATTTTATTACAATTTGTCATGCGCAGTTGCGCACTAGAAAATCACCAATCACTTGGCGTGTCAATCAATTTAAAGAAATATTTTATTCACATACATTAATAATCATGAAAAATATTTTTAAATGAACTCGAGTGGACTCGGGAATAATTCCGAGTCCTAAAAAAAAAATGTTCGAGTACGAGTCAATTCCGAGTCCAAATGGACACGAGTCCATGACAAGACCAAGACCATTAAAATATGGTCTCGAGACCGAGTCCGAGACGAGTCGGAGTCTCGAGTACTACAACACTGCTTCATTGCGGTTAGAAAGTCTTAAATTCGACTTGACTCGCTTTGATTTATGTTGTGTGCAGACTCTGCTTCATGCTAAAGACAAGAGGTTGTGCTGCCTTATTCTAAATCAAAATTAGGACAAGCCTCCAAAGCCTCATTCTCTTTAAATCATAATCACTATGAAAAAAAGCATTATGGCATAACATAAAACTAGAAAGAGTAGCGTGTTTAAACATTTATCTCCTCCTGATGAAGAGACACAGCTCCAAACTCTTGGCTGTTTTTTTCACTCAAAAGCTCACGGAGAGCTAATAGAATGCTTTGATCGTCATTATTTTACCACATATTCATAGGTGATGTTACACTAGAGTGCCACCTCTAGCTCATTATGCTTATTATAAGCTTTTTTCTCACACGAACAACCTGTGAATAAGGCCGGTGAGTAGCCTACGCCACCAGCTGCCCACAGACCATGCGAGATAAACCAGAGCAAGAGTGCCGATTGAGGATAAGATTTGGCTTTTTATAGCTAACTAAATACGACACAGCAGCTGATTCTGGATCAGTTCAAATCTGAAGCTTTAAATAGGCTGTGATAGTGACAGACTGGAGTTATTATGCATGTCAGCTTGCGCTGATAAGGATCGGTGGGTATGATTGCCATCAAAACAATTGGACAAGAGTTAATTAGCTTTTCTTTTCACGGGTGCCATCGAAGAACCAACCAGGAGAGAAACCAAACGCTCCTGTTCTTTCCAAGGCAGCGGGCACGCGCACACACGCGCACGCCACACCGAAGACTGTCCTATCCCACTCCCAGGTGTACAGGAATCTTAGGAGCTGCGTGTGGCTTGTCCTACTTCCCGTACAGTGTAACTGTACCTCGGACTGTGACTGTGTGCGAGCATGTGTGTAACGTTGCGACAAACACTGACCCATTTCAATAAGCTGTAGGCCAAGCCCAGATAAGTTTCCTCTTTATTATTATTTTTTTTTCCTGAGTGCGGGAACTATTAATTTAAAAATGCAAACAGATCAGCCTAATTATATTCCATGAACCCCAGAATTCAAATTAGCATCTTTTTAGGTGCCAAAATCAATTAACACACCCGTGTCCTCCAAAGTCAACGGTTAACACGGGCAAGAACGGACATGACAATTGCCGCGTAAAAGTGAGTTCATGGCATGCGCAATGCCGCCACTACTACATCACCAAAGTGAAGCGCTCGCAGGCAGACTTCTCTGAGCGCTCGTGAGTGAGTTGCGCGTCGGACGCACGTCCCAGATTTGGCACTGATGCGAGTGTGTAGGAATCCAGCGCGTCCTCCTCTCTCTCCTCTAACCTCCTCACAGCGAGACGCACGATTCTACAGGATGCCTCACCATATGCTTCTCTTAACCACTGAGTTTGGGGTTGGGATTTAGGCGATCCACCGGGCGCAGAGCGAGTTCTGGATTTGGATGCTTCGCTGGCACTGCTTTGCGGGTGATGGTGAAGCGCGTATTGCGCGCTGCCGCACGTTTCCTCGATCATTCCTCGGGACGTTTGGCGAAGGGAAATGTGAAGAAGGCTTAAAGAATGGCATGTAAACATGGTTTCTGCCAAGAAGGAGATGGTGACTGCGATGTACCCCACTTCTATTCCCACTCTCCTCTACTTTCTCTGTGTGGCAGCTTGGTGAGTTCCAACTGGATATGAGCGTTACGCATGGCATCTTTACGCCTCGAGGTTACACACGGGCGATTTTGAACTATTTTTTTTTTTTTTTTTTTTTGCTGTTGATTGATACGAAAATAGGCGTAGATTTAATGTGTGCGCAATGTTCAAATGTTTCAGTTTGCTCTGTGTTGTTTTTAGCATAAAGAGAATATCTGGACAGATCAGAAAGGATGAGAAATTATACCCGGAAAATTTCACGCGCATTCTGGACCGACTCCTGGATGGATACGACAACAGACTCCGACCTGGATTTGGGGGTTAGTTCTAAAAAATCTTCACAATCATGTGGCCAGAATAAGCGCGCAGTGCTTTTAAAGCTTCTTGCGCAAAGCATGCTCTCCAAATGTTGTGTTTTTTTATGCAGGTCGCATGCTGTTTACTAAGTGTTGTTTGTTTGGTGAGGGTTGGTGTCCTCTGAGGGGAGATGGAGGTGTAAGCCAACTCCAAATGTCCTTTTGCTGCCCACTCTCTTTCTCTGCTCACTCTCTTTTTCTGCTCTCCATGTATCTGTTAGATCGTTTAGATGTTTAAGCGAGTTTGGTTATGTAATCGCGCTAAGAAAGCCGCTTAATGCACATTTTAAGTAGGAAGAGTACAGATGTTCGCTTTGTGTGCGTAAACCGATATCATTTCCCGCGCTCTCCTATCATTTAACCGCGCGCATTTAACCTGTTTTGTGAAGCCAAGTGATGCGCGGCGGTTGTAGTTAGTGGATGGCAGAAAATAATTTTACTGTAGCTCTAGTTTTGTGTGTACAGTGAGTAGCCCAAAATAGCTATATGGTCAGTCACTGTGCCTGAAACTTCATAATTAACCCCTTAGTGTATGCATGGAATATATATTGTTAAAAAATCGGATCGATTTAACTCCAAGTTAACACTTTATATCTTCATGAACAACATAGGAAGCGTGATTAGATTATATAATGCTTTAGAGATCATGAATTAGTGTGCATGCAAATTAAATATTTAGTCCTATAGCTAGTGATGTATAAATCATTACATATTATTGATGAATAACTGATGATTAAAGTTGCTATATAAAGAAAAACATCACATAGCCAAGAAATAAATAATCAAATCAAAGACTGTGGATCTCTGCGCGTAATGCCGGGGATGTGATGGGAGCTTTGGGAATGAAGCTCTGTTTTCTTTTTTTTATGTAACTTTAGTGAAGAGGCAGAGAGCACATCTCTCCAAACAGAGCAGCACACCCACCTTCACATGACAAGAGCTCTCGAGCGGAGCTGGATCAGGCTGGAGGGGCTTGATCAGCTCTCAGCTATCTGTGCTGTGGGTTCACAGTTCTAGTAGGATCGCATGAGTTGCCCTTGCCTAAGAATGTAGTGCTTCAGAGATGATAGATATCAGGGCTCGGGCGCGTCTCTTAGCATTGGCCTGGTTGTTGTCGTCTGAAATGTGTTTGATTGTTGTTCAATGAGGAAATGCACTAAGCAGCCTATTATGTAATTGTTCACCCCAAAATATTGATTTTACACGTATGCTGTTATCTTCTCTGTGGAACATAGGAAGTAGCAAATTTGATGCATGTCGCTTGTGACAAAAAAAAAAAATAAATAAATAAATAAATAAATAAATAAAAAAATAGTCCATAAGACTTATTTCAGGTCTTTTGTATTTAATTTTATGCATATGACAAACTACATTTTATGTTTGTGTTTCTCAAGCTGGCTTCAGATGACTTTAAACACAGAGCATGAGTCATATGGACTATTTTATGAAAACGTGTTTTTTTAAATACTTTCTATCTGAATAATATGACCTGTTAATATGAACTGTGAACATTTTCCTTCTGTTGTTAATGCAGGTTTTGGAGCAACATTTTGAGAGAGAAAAAAGAAAATAGTGAAGTTCTCAGTTTTTAAATTAGATTTGAAATTTGTGTCTTATTTCTCCTGGATTTCCTAAATAAATGGTAATATAAACAAATGAGTCAATATCATGGCCATTCAGTATAAAAGTATAGAGCTATAGGCCTTAAACGAAAGTGAGCCTGTTACCATGTTTTCAATGGCACCCGCTTTAAAAAGCTCTTAGATCACTTACACTCTAAAAATGCTGAGTTGTTTTAAAACCCAACTTTGGGTCAAATATGGACAAACCCAAACGTTGGGTTAAAAATGTAGTGAAAAAATGTATCCCAGTAACTGGGTTTGTCCATATTTGAACCAAAGTTGGGTTAAAACAACCCAGCATTGCACGGCTCATGTTGTCTGGGATTTTTTGTCTACTGAAATATCTCAGAAATATATTTTTTTTGAGTTTTTTTGTCAGCAGAACAATCCAGAAACACATTAAAAAACAGATGTACTGTATGTTTATCCCTCACTTCGCTTTCATTCCGGTTAAAAGATGGCGCCGCTGTGAAAAAGGTCTATAATATGAATATGGAGAGCAGCTCAGATCATTTGGTTTTGGAAGAGTTTGATGTGAAATGCTTTTATATATACATTTGACTTTTGATTGGATATGGCATTTTTGTGAATCTCCACAGTTTGAGACAGTGTTGAGATATCCTCTGAAACTCTAGCAGAGACCTAAGATCTGAAAGCAGGAGATCATAAAGTCTCCATTTACTCTTTATTTCGTCTCATTGCTGGTGCAGAAACAATTGAGATATTAAAGAGACCTCTTGTGATTTGTGTGTGCATTGGGCTGAGTACGACTGTTCCTGTCTTTCATATTTCTGTAGGATTCATGGTTGTCAACTGTGAGAGATGCTCAGAGTGTCTGTTTAATGACAGATAATCCATTTTCTTGTGTTTGACTGAGGGCACTTCACTCGCAAGTGATTTACTCAAGCATCTATCAAACAGCCTCTAGAACATTAGGAGTTCAACCCTCACAAGTTCAGCCAATGAGACGATTCAGTGATAAATCATGTGATTGAGCTTTGAGTGCCTGAGTCTGTTTTCACTCACACTTTCCGTCTTTATTTTTTTTGTTTATTTTTTTTAGTTTTTGTCTCCACGTGAAATTTGGCTAAAGATAAATAAATTATAAATGGTTTCAGTCTGGAAAAAATACACTGTAAAAAAATCTGTTAAGTTACAGGACAAAACTGGCAGCTGTGGTTACTAAAGTTTTCGTGTTAAAAATACTGTAGCAATATTTTAGGTTTTATTGGCTTTTAACCGTATATAAATTTACAGTAATAACCCGTATTTCATTATCTGAAATAATGTTAATTTACTGACCTTTATTACTTGAAATATTAATATCTGTTTTGTTCCATTGTAATACACTGACAGCCAACAATCACAGCAGTGATGAGAGTCACATGATCAATCAAAGCTCATCATAGGCACTCTTCCACAAGAAAGTTAATAGTAACATTTAGAAGCTGCACAGTGTCATAACATTAAACTCCATCATGGTAACATGTTGCAATTTCTAAAAAAAAAAAAAATCAATAAGCATTAATTTAACAACATTAAATGTACCATAAAACCCTATGATTAGAAAGAAAACTAAGAAAATTATGAAGAAACAGTTATTAAAAAAAATAGTCACGCAGGGAATTGTGGGAATCTCAATTTACATTTTTTTACTGTAAATTACACAATGACTTGTTCTTTCTCACTTCAAAAAACTGAAATGTAATGGTGTTTTACAGTAAAATTACATTAAATGTTCAATTATATACAGTATATCACAGTTATTTACCGTAAATAGTAAAGACACTTTCCGTTAGCCAATTAACAGTTTTCTCTGTAGCATTTTTACAGTCTTTTACTGTTAAAATAATATTTTTTTTTTTTTACAGTGGGAAAATCAACACAAAATCAAAACTAAGCCCATATCCTTTCCTTTTGCTGGTCATTTTATTCAATATTTGCCAAACTAATCTGCCTCGGAAATATCTTTCCTGTTGGCTGAGGTTCACACTTTGCAGTTTGGCTTGATAAAAGTCGATTGGTCTGTTAGTGCCTTGGTGAACACCATATAAGTAAGCCGAACTGAAAAAATTCTGTGAAATTTACGGTAAAAAAAATGGTAGCTGTGGTTGCCAGAAACAGTAGCAACATTTTAGGTTTTGCAGATTAAACTTAAATTTACAGTAAAAGCATGTTTTCATTTGCTGATATAATGTCAATATGCCAACCTAGTAGTACTCTCTGTTTTGTACCTTTTAAAATACACTGACAACCACCAAACACATGTGGTGATGAGAAAGTCACAAGATGAATCACAACTTAGTAAGTACTGATATATAAAAGACACACAGTGTCATTCACACACACACAAAACACCATCACGGTAACACACATGCCACTAAAGTAATGCAATAAACATTAATTTAACAACATTAGATGTAACATAAAACCCCAAAGTGCATAGACGAAAACACATCAGATGTGAAATGCCACAATTCTGCAAATGTAAATTTAATTTATAAAACGACTTGATCTTTTTCACTTCTAAAAGCTGTCAATTTAACAGTATTTGACTGTGAGGTTAGATCAACTAACTGTTAACCAATTATCAGGATTACTGTATTATTTTTACAGTATTTTACCGTGCTTCTTTTCAGAGTTCAAATGAACTTTGGTGTGGTTTACTGAGATATGAAACCAACTGAGACATTTAAACCAAAAACAGGATGTGATATAATAAGGTTGGACCACTCAGGCATCATGGTTTTTCACCTCATAGGAACTTTGTTGTTCAGTGCAGTTGTCGAAACTGCCATCTCTTTGCCGCAGATCTTTATTTGTATGTGTGCCGAGGAATACCTGGCACTTTTGACTCTTTTTTACACATTTTCTAAGCTTTTTGTGAGTTTTCAGCTGATAAAAATACGTAGACACATACACCAAACACATTTAACCCAGCACACTGCTCTGTTTTGGATGTTCATAAGTTCGCAAAATAGCTTTTTTCTGTTGTTGTTGTTTTTATCTTTAGGTTCAGAGTTAAAAATGGCAACCAGGACTAAATGTATAATTTTCTGGACCAAAAGAACACTCTTAGAAGAAATGGTTCTATTTAGAACCAGAAATGGTTCCATCCCCCGCTTTATATATGGAACTCCAAAATGGTTCTATATAGAACCATTTTTTTGGTAAAAGGTTCCATTGGCCAAGTATGGAACCCCAGGGTTCTATATAGAACCCAGAGGAACCCTTTTTTTAAGAGTGTATAGAACCTTTTAGGGGTTCCAAATACGTAGCGCTTAAAGAACCTATTAAGGTTCTATATAGAACCTTTTCTTCTAAGAGTGAACCATGATAACCAAAGTATGAACACATCCTTAGACTCCAATAACCAATAGCCAAATAGCCGTTTAGACATTGTTTTAGGTCACCATAGTGTTGGCAATTCAGCCTTTGTATGTGTGGGTTATCTAATACCGGTTAACAATGTTAATTCTAGCAAATAATGAAGGATTTTCATTCAAGAACTTTTCTCTTAAGCAAGTCAAATTGGTTGAGAATGGTTCATGTTGACTTTGAGAGCCAAAAAAGCGAAAGCAGTTCTGTGGTAATCCATTTATTTCACTCGTAATAACTGGGTCATGCTGAAAATGACTAAAAACTATTAAGATCACATCAATTCTGTAAAAAAGTAAACATTTCTTTCAGATCTAGTCATAAGAGGCTTATGGTCATTGTAATGTGATTCTAAAGATTCCTGTTTCTGTCCAGGTCCAGTGACGGAAGTGAAGACCGATATTTACGTCACAAGTTTTGGCCCAGTTTCCGACGTGGAGATGGTGAGTGCTCTGAGATGTTTTTGATTATATGTGAACAGGTCGGATTTGTGCGAGTGCATGAGCAGCTGTTATGTAAGGCATCATATCCGTCCACTGAGATTTTATTAAAATAAATAATTCAGGCTGCTTGCCATTTAGATCAATGCAAGGTGCTGTTATCTGCCTAGTCAGAGTAAATCAAGTACAGTGTGGTAGAGATTCAAAATAAAAATGTGATTGAGTCAACAATTTTGGCAGGGATTTTCCCTTGAGAACATTGTGAGGTTCTGCACCTCTTAAAAAGAGCATAACAGTGCTGAATGTGACCACATATAGTGTTCAGCACAGATTGGTACCTAAAATATTAAAACCAGCAAAAAAAACACATTCATAACACATTTAACATCCAAAATTCTGTGATGTGAAACAAACTTTCTCCAGTATGATTTGATTTTGCTTTTAAAAAGCTGCTTCAGACGTGTAGAAAGTATTTTTTTTATTTTATTTATTTTTTTTTTTTTGGATTGTGAAAATAAAAGTTTATTCAGTAGAATAAGATTGACCGATTAATGGTGTAGAGAACAATCCGGACTTTTATTTAGGGTTCATTTTGATCTCATGTTCTTTTTTTTATTGTATTTACATTGAGATGATATGCACAGTTTGAGACATCACTGAAAATAATGAAAAACACTGACAAATTGATTTCTTTGAAAAGTAAATAGGATTCATTTTGGTTCAATGTTAGTAAAGGTTACAGGGGGATTTCTCAGGAAATATGATTGCTTCAGTTCATATTGACACCTTTGACATTTCATAACCATAATAATGTGTTAACAAACATTCAAAGAGCACATTGTTTCTGCCTCAAATTATTTAAACTAATACATTTTTCGCTAACTGTGTGATTTGCATTATGTACATTTCTGAAATGCATAACTTAAAGGAGTAGTTCACTTTTCAAAAAACCTTTGCTGATAATTTACTCACCCCCATCCAAGATGTCCATGTCTTTCTTTCTTCAGTCGAAAAGAAATTAAGATTTTTGATGAAAACATTCCAGCATTTTTCTCCATATATTGGACTTAATTGGGAACCAAATGGTTCAAGGTCCAAAAGACATTCAGTGCAAACTGCAAACTGTTCAAAGGGCTTTAAACGATTCCAGACGATGAATAAGGGTCTTATCAAGCGAAATGATCACTCATTTAATAAATAAATAACAAAGATTACGTTTTATAAGCACAAATGCCCGCCTTTCTCTGTTCTGTGACGCACGTTTGTGAAAAAATTTTAATGAACAAATCTTTTTCCGAGTCATTTGGTTTGAATTGACTCAGAAAAAGATTTGTTCGTTTTGATGAATGAGTTCGAACAGGAGAGTCACGAACGCGCATCACAACATAGCAAGGCGAGCATTTGAGCTTATAAAACTTAAACTTTGTTATTTTTTTAATGAGCGATCGTTTCGCTTGATAATACCCTTATTCATCGTCTGGAATCATTTAAAGCCCTTTGAACCGTTTGCACTGAAACTGTCTTTTGGACCTTGAACCGTTTGGTTCCCATTGAAGTCCATTATATGGAGAAAAATCCTGGAATGTTTTCATCAAAAACCTTCATTTCTTTTCGACTGAAGAAAGAAAGACATGGACATCTTGGATAAATTATCAGCAAAAGTCTTTTTGAAAAGTGAACTACTGTTCTCAGAGGTAACTATCTCTCTAAATTGTAAAGTAGACTGCTTTGAAACGAGGTGTGAACTGAATTGAATTAACTTCTTTAAAAAAGTAAATAGGGCTCATTTAGATTTTGTTGTTTTAAGGGTTTTGTCAGCATGAGGAGAAGTGTTTGTTTAAGAGTCTCTAAGACAATGTTTTTGCAAGATTATGATGTAATTTTTTTGGCTTTTCTCAGAATCTCTCTAATGAAGCTTTCTGTCAGGAGTAAGTCAGATTGATTTGCATGTGGTTTTGACAGCTCTGTGTTTGTGCTTTCTTCCAGGAGTACACCATGGATGTGTTTTTCCGCCAGACGTGGGTGGATAGGCGGTTGAGATATGATGGACCGGTGGAGATCCTCCGTCTAAATAACCTGATGGTGACCAAAGTCTGGACCCCTGACACGTTCTTCAGGAATGGCAAACGATCCGTGGCTCACAACATGACTGCGCCCAATAGGCTCTTCCGAATCATGAAAAACGGCACCATCCTGTACACTATGAGGTACATGTCCAGTCCGATTTACGCTGAAAAGGCTTTGGCAGGCTGTGTTTGCTCGTGGGTGATCGTCATTTTGCCAAGAAGGAGGTGTTCCTGGATAAATGTTGTTGCAGGACCAACAAAAGATGGTGTTGTGGGAAACAGCAGGTTGATATGAATATTGTTGAAGCATCAATCCCGGCCCCTAAGGCCTACTGGATGGTTGTTAGAAATCTTGTCCATACTTGGTGAAAGAGATTTAAATGGTGTGCTTGATATCACACCCACACTATTTTAACCATTTATATCTGTTTTATTTTCCACAGATTGACAATAAGTGCAGAATGCCCGATGAAACTCGTCAATTTCCCGATGGATGGCCATTCCTGTCCTCTGAAGTTCGGCAGCTGTGAGGATTATGCTTTATATATGCTGATTACTTCATCCCACGAAACACTAAAGCATGATTTGAGACACTGTTTCTGAGTAAAGGAACATGGCAGTTAATATGACGGGTTTGGGGTAAGGAGAAGAGCAGGACTTATGAACTGTTTCTTCTCTCTTTAGTGTCAGATGACTTAACAAATCATATGGGGAACTGAATGGATTATTTAATGTGAGTAGAGATATAAAATCAGAATTGAAGTTCATCGATATGCTACACTCTCAGAAAAAAAGGTACAAAAGCTGTCACTGGGGCTGTACCTTTTCAAAAGGGACACTTTTGTACCCAAAGGCTGCATATTGGTACCTTAGTGGTACATATTAGCACCTAAAATGTACAAATTAGCACCTGAAATGTACATATTAGCTCATGAAATGGACATATTAGCACCTAAAATGTACATATTAACACCTAAAATGTACATATTAACACCTGAAATTGACATATTACCACCTAAAATGTACATATTACCACCTAAAATGGACATATTAGCTCATAAAATGGACATATTATCACTTAAAATGTACATATTAACACCTAAAATTGACATATTAGCACCTCAAATGTATATATCAGCACCTAAAATGGACAAAAGTGTACCTTTTAAAAAGGTACAGCGCCAGTGACAGCTTTTGTACCTTTTTTTCTGAGAGTGTAGTGTACTCCTAATCTGCAACAACAACATTGTGAACTTTTGTAAAGATACGTTTGGACATTAACATAAATGCATCATTATGCAAATTGCAAACACATGAGGAGAGTCGCCGCATGAAAGACCCACGACTAGCAGATCAACGTGCTATTAGATTTCTCTCCGAAACTGTGGGAGAATAAATGAAACTGAATGTGGTTTTCAAGTGTGATAAGAGGATTAACAGGGAAGTTTAAACAGTGACAGAATGCACGTAACTACACGACAAAGTTAGTTAAAGACGCAATTATGATGAAGTAGTATGTCCAAGAGTTTGCCTTCTATTCTGCAGCACACTCAAAATATATGTATTTGTTCTTTATAAAAACAGTATAGGGCATATAAGTAGGTGAATTGGGACGTAGCATCTCTCTCTCTCTCTCTCTCTCTCTCTCTCTCTCTCTCTCTCTCTCTCTCTCTCTCTCTCTCTCTCTCTCTCTCTCTCTCTCTCTCTCTCTCTCTCTCTCTCTCTCTCTCTCTCTCTCTCTCTCTCTCTCTCTCTCTCTCTCTCTCTCTCTCTCTCTCTCTCTCTCTCTCTCTCTCTCTCTCTAGATATATATATAGACATATATACACTCACCTAAAGGATTATTAGGAACACTTGTTCAATATCTAATTAATGCAATTATCTAATCAACCAATCACATGGCAGTTGCTTCAATGCATTTAGGGGTGTGGTTCTGGTCAAGACAATCTCCTGAACTCCAAATTGAATGTCAGAATGGGAAAGAAAGGAGATTTAAGCAATTTTGAGCGTGGTCTGAGTATTTCACAATCTGCTCAGTTACTGGGATTTTTCCCAGTAGAACAGCAGAAGACCCCCCCGGCTACCACTCATCTCCACTACAAATAGGAAAAAGAGGCGACAATTTGCAAGGGCTCACTAAAATTGGACAGTTGAAGACTGGAAAAATGTTGCCTGGTCTGATGAGTCTCGATTTCTGTTGAGTCAGAATTTGGCGTAAACAGAATGAGAACATGGATCCATCATGCCTTGTTACCACTGTGCAGGCTGGTGGTGGTGGCGTAATGGTGTGGGCGATGTTTTCTTGGCACACTTTAGGCCCCTTAGTGCCAATTGGGCATCGTTTAAATGCCATGGCCTACCTGAGCATTGTTTGTGACCATGTCCATCCCTCTATGGCCACCATGTCCCCATCCCCTGATGGCTACTTCCAGCAGGATAACGCACCATATCACAAAGCTCGAATCATTTCAAATTGGTTTCTTGAACATGACAATGAGTTGACTGTACTAAAATGGCCCCCACAGTCACCAGATCTCAACTCAATAGAGCATCTTTGGGATGTGCTGGATCAGGAGCTTCGTGCCCTGGATGTGCATCAATATGGGCCAACATTTCTAAAAAATGCTTTCAGCACATTTTTGAATCAATGCCATGTAGAATTAAGGCAGTTCTGAAGGTTGAGAGAGAGAGATGACTATATATATATGTATATACATAAGCTACAACTTTAATTTAAGCCCTCTACCTTAGAGATCTGAAAAAAAACAACTCTTCTCCTCAAAGAGAAATTACTTTTCCCTCTGAGTGTGTAAATAGAGACATATTCTACAAACTGAACAAAGAATCTCTATATCAGCAAGACTGTTCACGGCAGTCGGTCAGCAAAAATGAAAACTAAAACGTAAAAAAACCATTCAGGTAAAAGAAAGCGAAATCTGAAAAGAAGGCCTAATCTCGAATGGGAGTATGTGGCAGGTGGGTAGGGCTCTTTTATGGAGAGTGCTGGGAGATCTGGAGATAAAATCAGTCCAGAGAGCTCCTGCTGGCGCATTGTGACATTGTGACGAGGACGATCTCGATGTTTTGGTTTTGTAGTGGTGGCTGTGCTAATGTGCTGACGGATATCTCACTCTCTCGTCTCTTTGTCTTCTTATATACATCTTTCTGTCCTTTCCCTTGGCCTGAGGGGAAGCATCTAGACAGAGAGCTGTTCGTCCCCTGTAGAGTCGAGAAGGTCACCACAGCTTTCCCTCCTGCCCCGGGACAGCGCAGACCTATAACAGCTCTCGTTTTCGTTTTACGCTCGTTCCTTTGCACTCTGATATAGTATTCTGCTCCTCTCTCTTGTCATGTCATTCTCTTCTTTTGCCTGTTCACTCATAGCTAGGGTTAGTTTATCCTACAGTGTAGGCCTGCCAGATGAATCGAAATCAAACCAAAATCGTGATATGGCTTTGTGTGATTATTAAATCGTAAATAAAATAATTAAATAAATATGTATGTGCTGCATTAGTGAAGCGCAGCACTGTGTTCATTTATGGTCACTGTGATTTTTCCAAGTAAGTCTTGTTCTTGGATCAACATAATTAGTTGATCCTGGAACCACGTTCCTATCCGAAAAGTTTGTCGTAACCCTGTCCCCACCCCTAAACCGAACCCTACCCATAAGCTATCCAATCAGAGGTGAATTATATAACACTGATGTAGTCTAACCCACCTAACCCTGGTTTTTAAGCCAAAACTTGACATAAACTGTAAACTTCCTAACCCTCATACTTGACATAGACTGTAAACCCTCAAATCTTATGTGTTGATTGAAATGTTATTCCAGGATCAACAGAGATCAACATAATCCTTTCCCTCTCTCTCTCTCTCGGTTATCTATATACTGTATTATCTCAAAAAATAAAACCTTAAAAAAAGAACAAGTAGATTTTTTTTCTCTAAATCATGCAGCCCTACACCACAATCTAACCTCTAGACATGAATAATTATTTAATGCTTCCTTTTACAGTCCAGTGTACTTAATAGTGTACTTATGTACACCCAGTACTTGCGTGTACTTACAGTGTATTTAATAGTGTACTTAATAAGTACATTGTATGTACATGGGTAACAGGACTGTACTGTAAATGTACTGTAATGGTGTGTTCTCACCAAACGCGAATAGAGCGTCAAATACGCGTCTATCGCGTCTAGTTAGACGCTTGAACATTCGCTCGAATTCAAATTTTTCAACTTGCGCGGAAGACATTCGCGGCAAACGCATCGCCCAATTGGAGTCATTCGCAATGCCCGGCACGAATGATGCATCTATTTGCGTCTTTGGAATGACTTTGTTTGTAATCTACTTGCGTAAATAATTAAATTCGCGTTCGGTGTGAACACACCATAAGTGTTACCAGTAATTCGTCACATCAAGTGTTTTGTTAACACAGTCTCATCCCAAAAAGTCATATAACTGACGTTTTGGGACGTCTTTTGACCATACGTTAATATCCGCCTTTTTAGGGCCCCCTTAAACGTCGGTAGATGGCGATCCCGGGCCGTCATACAACTGACGCTTTACCTTTAACGTCAGTTAGGTGACGGGTTAGGTTTAGGGTTAGGTATGGGGTAGAGTTAGGATCCCATAACCTCATCTACCGACGTTTAAGGGGGCCCTAAAAAGGCGAATATTGACGTATGGTCAAAAGACGTCCCAAAACGTCAGTTATATGACGTCTTGGGATGAGACCGGGTTGGTTTTGTTGAGAAGTGGGCTGGTATCTTACTAAGCAATTAGAAAAAAACACACATTAATTCAGTATTATCTGTGCATTAGTTAAGCATGAATTAATGCTTATTAGTGCACCCGTATTGTAAAATGTTACCAAAACGGTTTACACAACATGTGCAGTGCAAGTTTGTCATTCAGGCTACATAACATTACAATGAGATCAATATAATTGTGTGCTTGAGACATGGATTTTAATGGTGAGATTTGGTTTTGTAAACTTGGATTTAGATTTATCCGCCACTATATTCGTTATCGGCTTTTAAATATAAAGAATTATTGGTTATCTGTTCTGCATCGGCCAAAATTTCTCATTATTCATCATTAAAAACGTTTGCGCTGAGAGAAAACATCAGTGTAGTTTGTAATTAAACTCAAGTTGCATTGATACAGTATCTCTCTCTCTCTTTCTCTCTCACTAGGGTTTGTTCAGTTCCCCTCAAAAAAATCTGTCATACTCAAACTCATTTAGTCTCTCTGTCCCCTCTCTTGCGCTCTCTCTTTCTATTTTCATGGGGTTGTTGGTGGGTGTCTTGGAAGTCCTTCCTCTGCTCTGTTTCCCAGTGTGTGGGGGTTCAGAAGCAGAAATGGAGAAGGAGACAGCAATGAGGAGAGAAAAAAAGAGAATTAAGGAAGATCGAGAGAGATGAGGATGATGGTGAGGATCTCAAAGGAGGACAGGAGCGCAGGGAGCGTGCCGACGGACTCCTGGATGCGCAGTCAAGTCTCTGCTCCGTTTGATGTATGGATTTCTCCTCCATAAATGAAATCTGTCTGATTCTCAGCTGGAGAACATCTCGGAGGATCTGATTTCTGTGTCAGGATGATTGTTCTGCTTGGCTCAGATCTGAGATTGGCACGCACAGTGGAGGAAGTGGGCAGCAGTGAGGAAAGAGCAGTGTTTTAGCGGCGACCGTTCGACCCTGAGCCCGAGGACTAATACGGACGGTTCCGTGCGTAGGCATATCCAGAGGAAGATTTCATTGCTCATAGATTGCGCTTTCATAGCTCAGGAGACCTGGTGAAGTTCCCAGATATCTTTAATTGAAGTATAAACTCCTTTATTTCCTTGGGTGAAATAAAAATAGAAATAAAATTAGACAGTTGTTGTGAAATTGGAGTTGGGTCATCCGATTGGCAAATCGGAGCAGGTTTGGATATCCTGCAGGACGGGAACATCACAAATGAGATCTTTTTGTTTCTCAAAGACAGGAATGAAATTAAGAAAACTTTCAGACATTTCTCTTGAGAAATAATACACAATGTGGGTTAACATACAATCAAATGTCGCCTATATGTAAATAGGTTTTAATGGACCTGAGCTAACATAAACCTATAACGAACAGTATAATTTCTCATTGTTTTTGCATTAACTAATGTGACCTTATTGTAAAGTTTTACTGAAACCTGTAATTTCACATCTCCACTAAAACAGCAGTCTCAAATCCTGATTAGATTTGCCAAAGCAACCAAAATCTGTGATCATAAAACTCAATATGAACCATTTTTTTCCTGCAGTTTCCAGCAGTATGCCAACAATTGCCTCATTTGTTTCCATTTTACCTAAGGCCTTGTTTCTCTTGAGAACAACCTGAGCATCAGGAGACTGCAGCAGAAGTCTCCACTTACCCTGTGTTTAATCTCATTTCTGTCTTTTTCATTTCCACCGGGATACACACAATGCCACAGATATGGTCCGATTGTTAGGGTTATGCACACACACATATTCCCTCTGTTCTAGTTACGATGGCTCTCTTTTGTTTATCAGATGCCTATCCAATGACTGAGGTGATCTACACCTGGACCAAAGGCCCTCAGCATTCTGTGGAGGTCCCACCTGAGTCGTCCAGCCTGGTCCAGTACGACCTGATTGGACAGACTGTGTCAAGCGAGACTGTAAAGTCCATCACAGGTACACGCACATTAAACACTATCACAATGACGCCAACATTTTTTCATGCGAATATCTTGCAGTATACACTACTGTCCAAAAGGTTGGGGTCAGTAACGCTGCCTTCACACTGGCAGTTTAAATCAGCTCCGTAATATGCAATACGTTCCCAACGGACGTCGTACTACACAGTGAAAAGCGTCGGAAGCGGGTAGAACAAAAATGGCGGAGAGATTAAAGTTTGATTCTGTCAGTTCTGTATGATTTCTCTCTGATTAGGGTTATGCTGCGTGAGGAAAGTTGCTCAGGTCGGCTAAAAAAATGTGATATAGTGGTCAATAGTTCAATGTCTACCTTCTAATTGCCCTTATAAACGTTAGAAAGTCATGAAAATAAAAAATGACATGACAACTTATCGTTATAAAATCGTTATTTATTATATTAGAAGTTAATAATTCAGGTTTGTTTATCAGTACCATAGCAACGCTCAACTTCCGCTGGAATTGTCGGATAGGAACCGTCCGTAGCTTTTCGCAGGAGTTCAAATTTTTGAACGCATCCGGATGACCAACGGACACGATTTTCTTCGCACCGCACTCGGTCGGACCTGTTTCGGACCCATTCGCATGCGGTCTGCGAATCTCCATAGGAAATTAATGACTTCCGGTCGTTTCGCAGCCGCATCGGAGCTGATTTCAACTGCCAGTGTGAAGGCGGCGTGAGACTACGTTCACACTCTCAGTCCAAATCTGAGATTGGAATCTAAAATTATTGACTGTCCACATTGTGTAAAACAACTATTCAGATCCGATTTGAATGTCTGAATCTGATTGGATTTCAAACGGATGTCCAAAAAAATCGGATTTCAACTGACAGCCTGAACGTACACTGTAGAACTGAAGGCCTGTTCACACCGGGACGAATTTCACGTGCGTTATTCGCCGACGTTCAACGCCTCGTTACTAAACAAAGGGCGCCAATGTGAGTGTGCACACTGACGTGTAAAACGCCACGCGTAAAATCGTAATTTTTAAAAAAAAAACGCCTCGGGTTGGTTTTTTTTTTTTTTGTTTAAAAAACTATCCGACCAATGAGATGGCGCTTTTGCTCACGCTTCTGAAGTTACAGTAAAACACAAGAGCACACATTCGTAACAGAGAAGAAGATATACGCCAAGTAGCGTCGCCGTCTACACTGCCAGGAAGAAATAAGACGAGGAAGATGCGAGGCGAGATGAATGTAGAGCTGCTGTTCTCGTTGGTGTTAGAACATAAAGAACTATATGACAAACGCGACTGGGACTACAAACATCTTGATAAAAAAAAACTGACATGGAGTGGTATTTCAGAGCGAATTGGCACCATCTAATGTCAGGGATTGAATTTGCATGTTCACTCGGCTCATCGTCAGCGAAAATCGTTTGGGTGTGAAAAAACCTACACTATCTCACGACCAATTTGTATGAATTTGACGCATGATTAAAAAGTGTCTAATTCGTACTAATTCGTACAACCTCAGTCGTACGAATTTGTACGATTTGTATAAAGACACGTGATGGTTAGGTTTAGGGGCGGGGTAAGGGGTAGGTCATTCGTACGAATTCATATGAATTGGCCAATTCGTAAAATATGTACGATTTAGCAAAATTAGACACTTTTTAATCATGCGTCAATTTCGTACGATTTTGGTCGTGAGATCGGGTTGGAAAAAACGCGTTGAAAAACGCTGACGAATAACGCGCGCTGATATTCGTCCCGGTGTGTAAGGGCCTTGAGTCTCTTATGTTCACCACGACTGCATTTATCTGATCAAAAATACAATAAAAAAGTATTATTGTGAAATAATCTTCCAATTTATTTAAATGTATTAAGAAATTGAATGTATTCTTGTTATGCAAAACTGAATTTTCAGGATCATTACTCTAGTCTTCAGTAGGGTTGGGTATCGAGAATCGAGTATCGATTGGAACCGGGACTAACTTTTCGTTTTTCCCGGAATTGTTCAAAAGTTAAAATTTCAATTCCTAGTTTCGATATTCACAGTCCGCCGAGCGGAAGAAGAAACCGCTGTACAACACCAACGAAGAAGCGTCTACCGGAAGTGTTGGCATAACCACGCGAGTCGAACATGAGTAGCTTACGTCGGCGGTCCAAAGTGTGGCTTCACTTTTCTAAAAATTTACGAAATCTCGGCAAAATGCAAAATTTGTGACAAGTATTTGTGACAGAAGGAATATTTCCTTCAGAAAGATCGTTGGTTAGCAAGGTTAGCTAAACTTTTTTGACCCTGCCTCTTAAAAGAATCGAAACAAGGAATCGGAATCGGAATCAGAATCGTTCAAATTCAAACGATACCCAACCCTAGTCTTCAGTGTCACCTGATCCTTCAGAAATCATTCTAATATGATGATTTGATGCTCAGGAAACGTTTCTTATTATTTGCAATGTTGAAAACAATTGTGTTGCTGTTTTTACTGTCACTTTTTATCAGTTTAATGCATCCTTGCTAAATAAAGTATTAATCTTTCAAAAAATTCTTACTGACCCCAAATGATGGAATTGAAGAATATATTCATTTACGGGTTTTCTAATCTTAAAAAAATAAATAAATAATAAAAAATTAAAACTGCTGTTTTTACTGTCACTTTTAATCTGTTTAATGCATCCTTGCCGAATAAAATTAAAAAAATAATTTTTGACCCGACCAATCATAATTTACAGTAGAATGAAAAATTTGCAATGATGACATTTAATGTTGAAAGTGCGATCAATATGAAACTTTTACACACACACAGACACATATAAACACATATTGAATATACGTGTGTGTGGGGGGGTCTTCTTTCGTATATTTTACCATTTAAAAAACATGTCGAAGCCAGCTGTGACCTCATAGACATTTTGACAATAGCTTGTTTTCATTTTATACGGCCCCTACCATGAAAACATTGGTCCCAAATCCTACATTCCACAACAATAACATATAATATGCTCTGATTGGCTGTTATTATGTCACATTATGCTGCATTTTTATATGCGGTCAACAAAATGACCACTTAAACTTCCCACGTTGAGCCTGTTACTCTTAACAGCGACTATGAAACAACATTATTTAATTGACACAGAAAACCTAAACTTACCTAAAAGTCTATCCTCGTGCTGCATTGCAAAGAACTGCTATTTCTTTCTGGAAATGCAAATCTAGAATGCTTTGATTAGACTTAATTATAGGCCACTGCTCACTCTAATGGAAGAATTACATTTTAAACATAGAGCCGCCACAGATTTGATGCCTTTACGGTTTAGCCTGTGCGTTACAAATGCCAGATGTCTTCTTCCAACAAAAACAGTAGGTCTGAACAAATACTCTCAAAGTCACGTATACACACACGTACATCTCTCAGCACGCACATTTTCAGAGTCACCTGGTCTGTGTCCGAGAGTCACCTGATCACGGAGAACATTTGATAGTGTCGTAAGCTAGATTAAAAGAAAAACAATTTTACTCATGCCACATGGCGTAATGTCAGCTTAAACGTAAAGGTCAGCATGAGCGCTTTCAGAACGGCTTGTTTTTTGTTTTTTTTACTGTGTACTTCAGTGAAACAGAAGGGGGGAGGGGGGAAAACAATGCAAATTTACTACATCTTCCTTATCAAAATGACATATACGAGATTTGGAGCATTCAGCGTGTGTTTTGATGACTGGAGCTCTGGTTCCCAATACGGCTGCAAGCCTCATTCTGTTAAGATAAGATGAATCTGCCAGCGCAGCTTAACTGCCAGAAAACTTTGCTATTCAGCCAAAATAAGTCTGCCGTGGTGACAGACTGTCATTCTTCTGACCTTGTTCCTATGCGCGTTCACTTTCAGGATTATAAGGCACTTCCCGTTTCTGTTTCTCTGCTCTTTCAGGTGAATATGTGGTAATGACGGTCTACTTCCACTTGAAACGGAAAATGGGCTACTTCATGATTCAGACGTACATCCCCTGCATCATGACTGTAATCCTTTCCCAAGTGTCTTTCTGGATAAATAAGGAATCCGTACCCGCCAGAACTGTCTTTGGTATGTGTTACTCTCAAATCTTCTGCACTGTTTGAGCCGCCAACACCATTTTCATGCAAATGTAGTGAGAAGATCTGTTTCCTTCTGTGATATCTCCCTTCCTCCCTCTATACATTTATCTATTTTTTACACTTGTCTTTCTTTTTATCATTTTGTTTTATGCTGCTGTGTGTAATGCTGGGTTAATTTCGCGAAGGCTGCTTTTGAAAGTGGGTTAGCATTACTTTTCTACCCTGATTGCATTGCTGAGGATATACAGTGTGAAGTTGTGCTATACTAGAGATGCTGCATTAAATTGTTTAGCAAATGACAAACGATTATGAACTGTGTTAAAGGACAAGTTCGGTATTTTACAAACGGTTTTAAGATTGTTTTTTAGACAGATGATGCTTTCCTGAGAATTTTCAGTTTCTGCGGTAGCGTGTTTCAGATATGTCCCGCCCCTTACCGTAATCCCAGGGTTTACTTTCAACACACTACTAACTAACTTCAACAGGCCCCGCCCCCTTTTTGGCATATGATTTTAGCAGGAATTATTTAAATGAGGGATATTATGATGTGTTTGTTCATGGAATAAAACTTAAAGGTCCCGTTTTTTTTTTTTTTTTATTTATTTTTTTTATAATCTTTATTTCATAAGAAATACAATTTACAGCCATAAACTCTACATGCTTATACATTCATCCTCACATTCATACCCCAGAACATACATGAGAAAACTAAGATACACTGTAAAAAATATTGATGGTTTAACTTAAAAAAGTAAGTTTGCCTTAAAATTTTAAGTTCATTGAACTGGAAAAAGTGAGTTATAACAATGAAGGAGATTAATTTAACCATCAGAAACTCAAAATTATATGTTATCTGAACTAAATAAATTATTTAAGTTGATTTGACAAAAGAAAAAATGTTGTGATTACTACACTGTACAAAAATATTGTTGGTTTAACTTAAAAAAGTAAGTAAGCTGGGTTGCCTTAAAATTTTAAGTTGATTGAACTGGAAAAAGTGAGTTAATACAATGAAGGAGATTAATTTAACCATCAGAAACTCAAAATAATAAGTTATCCGAACTAAATAAATTATTATAAAGTTGATTTGACAAAAGAAAATATGTTGTGATAACAAATCTAGAAAATGTTTTTTACAGTGTAGACACACTTTACAAAATATATTACGACAGAAGAATAAATATGATATGAAAAAGATAGGAAAACTACAAAATTTCATATAATTATAATATACATAGAATATTACTCAATTTTTATTATATTCATCCATTCTATTTTTACTTTCTGCTATTATCTTTTCTAAACGAAGATGTGACCTTATAACATTCTTAAAGTGATCTAAACACAAGCTTGATGATGTTTTTGTTTTAAAAATAAACATTTTCCCTATTAATAAAATGGTATTTAACAAAAGAAAACTACCTGTAAAATGACCAAGTACAATCGTTTGTGCTGTTATGGTAAGTTCTATTCTATTCGTCTTTAACCAAATTTGGACACTTGACCAGAATTTATTTACAAATGGACAAAAGTAAAATAAATGCCACAGGTCTTCCTCTTCTATACTCCAAAAAAATCAGCAATTTGGATTATTTTCAATGTGGTATAAATATAACATTTTTTTAGTTGCAATTATCTTGTAAAAAATGTTCAATTGAAATATTCTCAATTGGTCCCGTTCTTTATGATCCCAGTTAGTGTGTAATGTTGTTGTTAAAGTATTAAAAATATCTGTAAAATTATAAAGCTCAAAGTTCAATGCCAAGTGAGATATTTTATTTAACAGAAGTAGCCTACATCGAACGGCCCGTTTGGACTACATCCCTACATGACGTCAGTACAGTTTTTTGACTAACGTCCGCCCACCAGCTTCATCTTTTGTGTTATGTACAATATACTTTATTAAACTCATCAGTATATGTTTGATCATCATTCGGACCTGGTCCGAAACAGCAGACTTGTAGGCTATTAATAAATAATGGATGCATAAAACCAGATGTCAAATACGTTATAATAACCGTAATTAAACTCCTAAACTATACCTGTTCCATCTCTATACAGCACTCTGACTCTGTAGGCATTATTGTCCGACTCTCATTACTGTCCGTCTCTGATATTATCATCATTCCGTGAAATGAAATTGCACGAGCTGAAGCTCCGCCCCCTGGGCCGGCAGCAGCAGCTTATTTGCATTTAAAGGGCACACACCTAAACAGCGCGTTTTTCTGAGCCCCAAAAAATGACAATTAAACATGCTGTAAAAAATGATCTGTTGGGTATTTTGAGCTGAAACTTCACAGACACATTCTGGGGACATCAGAGACTTATTTTACATCTTATGAAAAGGGGCATAATACGGGACCTTTAAGACTACAATCGATGCGTTTCAGGGAGTTCAGAAACAGACACTGATGTACAGTAGATCTCATTATTACTCTCGAGAATAACTCCCGCTCTATGTAACCTTTTCATGCTCAAACAGCAACATTACACTACAAGTTGAAAAAGCATAATAGGTCTTCTTTAATAAATCGTTTCAATGGTAGTGTATGTACAGTGTGAAATCTCAAACCAAGAAAATGACAACCAAGGATTAATTACTAACCGAGAATATGTGTGAAGCAAGATAATCATCTGTGTGAAGGGTGTTTTCTGGTTGTGTTAAAGTGTTAGTTTGGTTTGGTTTGGCTTCCGTCCTGATGCATGATGCTGTGATGCGTCACAAAGTACTGAATCATAACGCGTGTCACGAAGTGGATCATGTCATAAGGTAATTGGCGATACCCAGTACTATGAAAATGATAGTTTGGTTTTGTGTGTGTTGCAGGATCAAGTTAACAAACAAAAAAATGTGAGTGTAAGCTTGTTAAATGAGCTTCATGTTCACGAGTTCACCTGCCCATACAGTCTTAAAGGATTAGTTCACTTTTGAAAAAACTTTTGCTGATAATTTACTCACCCCCATGTCATCCAAGATGTCCATGTCTTTCTTTCCTCAGTCGAAAAGAAATTAAGGTTTTTGATGAAAACATTCCAGGATTTTTCTCCATATAATGGACTTCAATGGGGACCAGACGGTCCAAGGTCCAAAAGACAGTTAATAACAGTTTCAGATGCAGCTTCAAATGTCTTTAAACGACACCAGACGATGAATAAGGGTCTTATCATGCGAAACGATCGGTTATTTCAAAACTTATTCCAAAAATGTAACTTTTCTAAGGACAAATGCTAGCCTTGCTCTATTCTGTGAGGCGCGTTTGTAACGTCACGTAATACATAATTACGTTCAAAAGGTCACGGGCGACGTAGCCGGAAGTACAGAATCAAAATCGTCCGACATCGTTGTTTTACCTTTTAATTCTTTTTTTTTGTAAACGGCGTTTGAGTTAGTTTGCACGTTCAACCTATGCGCAGAGCCCGTCTAACGGAGAGCCTTGGCACTTCCTATTAGCCCCGTTGTGTATCATCCTGGTTGCAGTTCCATTAGAATTCCACTGGAGGTGATAGCGGGCGAGAGTGGAATGAATGGGAGTCTATGGGGCTAAACGGTTAAATGTATCTCTTTCACCTGCTTGTCGTTAAATTAACATAGATTTTATTGTTGATTCCGCACGTTCAATATAGATTATAGGCCAAAAGTCGAATGAACGAGTACTTATGTCCTTTTGATTTCTTACAGGTTAGGCCGTTGTTGGCCGGACGTCATCGTTGTGTGACGTCATCACATTTTTGAACGGATTTTTAGAACAGATAAGTGCAATTTAAAAATGCAATTTTCAGCTGAGTGTATTATCTTAGCCCTCCCTTTTGGATACAACTTTCAAATTACTTGAAAAAAAATTACATCCTGAGAAAAGTGGATTTCTGGGGATGAAACCCCATTGACTCCCATTCATTCTGCACTCGACCGCGAGCGCCCCCGCATGGACACAGACGTGTTACTGCAGCCAGTCCAGAATCCGGAAGTAACCAGCCAGTGCCAATTCTCTTCAATTAGACATTCTCTACTATGCGTTCATCTTGTAAACACTGACTCTGTACTTCCGGCTACGTCGCCCGTGACCTTTTGAACGTAATTGCGTATCACGTGACGTTACAAACGCGCCTCACAGAATAGAGCAAGGCTAGCATTTGTCCTTAGAAAAGTTACATTTTTGGAATAAGTTTTGAAATAACCGATCGTTTCGCATGATAAGACCCTTATTCATCCTCTGATATCGTTTAAAGACATTTGAAGCTGCATCTGAAACTGTTATTAACTGTCTTGTGGACCTTCCCATTGAAGTCCATTATATGGAGAAAAATCCTGGAATGTTTTCATCAAAAACCTTCATTTCTTTTCGACTGAAGAAAGAAAGACATGGATATCTTGGATGATATGGGGGTGAGTAAATTATCAGCAAAAGTTTTTTTCAAAAGTGAACCGATCAGTCCTTATCTTTACATGACAAAAACACATCTACATACACTGGCACACGCTCGCTCGTGCACACACCTCCTGTTTCCTTCCACACATAACCTGGGGCACTAGAGATGCTGAGAATAGCACGCTCTCATTCTCCACTGGAAAAGTGTAACAATGACCCACCTTCAGATGGCTACTAACAGTGCGGTGCGCTTGGACTCGGGCCAGAGGAGCGGCTTTTGGTGTCCTAGATGGAAGTGTGCTTAGTGAAGGGGTTTCTGGGTAATGACAGGGTGGGTTTTTGATGCAACGCAGCAGGAGACCACAATGATCTGTTGTTTATCTGTTCTGGGATGGCGTCCATATTTCGCTTTCTCTACACATGGATCTAGTGTAGGCTTCCTAATGGCTCAGTTACTGATTTGTTTTACTACCTTTGTCAGCACAATGTAGTTTGAAATTAGTTTGGTAGTGTTTAATGAAACGTTTGCCTTGTTTTTCTCTACTTGGACCATTTAAGCTGTAAAAAATGGGTCATTCAGTTGTAATGTCAGAACAGTACACTCATGAAGTGCGATGTATAA